TGACACGAAGCTGTTGTACTGCTGGATGTTTCTCTTCAGGATGTCGGAACACGGCCCCAGGACACGCTCAAAGCGCGGGCGGTCCAGCTTCACGCATTTCAGGGGCCCGCGGGCCACCACCGTGGCTGCTCGGGGCCGATTCATCAGCAGAGCAATCTCACCTGGAAGGAAGAGGAAGGATCATGTATGACCCATACAGGACTACTGCATACTAAGCCGTGCGTCACACGCCAACTCACCAAAATAATCCGAAGGACCCAGGCGGCCAACTTCCACAAACTCCTCATTCTCAGAGCGGCGCTGGAGCACGGCCGCAGTACCCTGCAGGGAACCGCCATCAAATATGAGGGAAGGATGAGCATTCATAGCAACATACAACATACACGCGTGATCACTCACCTCCAATATGATGAAGAACTCGTCCCCCGGCTCCCCCTGCACCACAATCTTCTGTCCGTCCTCAAACTGCACCGGCTCCAGCGCGTCCGCCACCGTCAGCCGCTCCCACTTATCCAGAGATTCTACGGGAAAGGGGGAACCAATCATCACACGCACAGCGCGTCTATGGAACACGGAGGGAGCAGACACATCACACGCACAGCGCGTCTATAAAACACGGAGGGAGCAGACAGATCACACGCACAGCGCGTCTATGGAACACGGAGGGAGCAGACAGATCACACGCACAGCGCGTCTATGGAACACGGAGGGAGCAGACAGATCACACGCACAGCACGTCTATGGAACACGGAGGGAGCAGACAGATCACACCCACAGCACGTCTATGGAACACGGAGGGAGCAGACAGTTGTATGTAGATCCCCCAGGGACACGGGGCTTCATTTATACTTGCGGTTCCTCAGCTGGTGTAAGCCATGCACAGGCCACACCCACCAGGAGGAGGGGCATTGCCTAGGGGGAGGAGCCAGACACTCACCTAGAATGGAGACTTTGCTGAGGAATTCCTCGTACATTTTGCGCTTGCGTAGCGTGCTCCCCTGGAAGAGAAGAATGCGTCACGTGTGATTGGAGCGCTCATCTCCTCACACGGTACACACACGTCTGCACTGCGATGGGACCGGTATGAATAATTACCATCAGGATCCTCCGGTAACTGTCCCGGTCTATTCCCCACAGCTTCACGTTGCTCTTGGCTTTCACGGTGGCCGCTCGCGGAGTTCCATATATCAGAGCCAGTTCCCCGAAACTCCCGCCCTCCCCGATGCTCGTCATCCATTCGTTGTTCACATAGACCTGCCAGAGAGGGACAGCCAATACACCGTCACCTATGCCAGGCCCACACCCGGCCAATGACAGTCCAGTATCCCACCATCATGTGACCACAGATACTCACATCCATCTCTCCCTGATCCACCACATAGAAATTATCCCCTTCATCACCTGCAAGAGAGAAACCGTCACCGCCGGCTCCCACAGACCCCAGACCCCGCCCACCACACGCCAGACCCCGCCGCCCACCACACCAACACCCAGGAACAACGCGCCAATCAGACCCCGGGAGCGGCCCAACATTCCATGGTTACTGGCTGACAGTGGGACGGACTCACCCTGCTGGATGACGGCTTCTCCGGCTATGTAGGTGACAGAAAACATGGCATCAAAGATGTCACTGGAAGGAAGAAGACACGTTACATACTACATGCTGCCCCCCAACATACTACATGCTGCTCCCCGGTCCCATCCTTCACCCCTCCCCCGAGGATGACTAGAGATGGATCCTCCTCCCCCCACATGGAAGATTCCGCCATTCTATGACCCGTCGTCTCACCTTCTCTCATTATCATCCAGATGTGCAAACAGAACATTCTTCTCGATGGCCTTTGCCAGAGCCGCCATCGTCTTGTAGTCTTTGGGGATGACCTGCAAGAGATCGGATTACACACTGTGTCACCACACCCCGCCACAGAGAATCATGGGAGATGGAAGGCACGCAGAGTTCAGGAGACAGTCACCCGCTCCTCTATCTGC